CATTATCTATCATTCTTTCCCTATTCTCTCCCCAACCTCTCTATGTCTGTCCTATTTTATAACAGTGGTGTTATGCAGTATTTGTCCTTTTGTGGCTGAGATATTTCACACAACATAATGTCCTCCAGGCTCCCCCATGTTGTGTAATGTTTTCCAAGTTTATTGTTTTTCAATGCTGTGTGATATTCCATTGTGTGAATGTACCACAGTTTTTCTAGATTTTGTTTAGAGCACCTCTAAGTTTTGTAACTCAAGGCTTGAAGGTGTTTTTAATTTCCTTCAATTTGAGAAATGCTAAGCAAGTTCTCCTATTTTTATTCTTTACTTCTCAGTGTCTACACATTCCATTATAGAGTTTGCTTTGTCTTCTCAAGCTGCCCTTTGAAATCTGTTCAACCCTTCTATTTCAGCATCTCTTCCTTATTTTTTTTCCTTCTTGATGCTCCAGTGCAACTTTCAGGGTCTCTTCCGATACTAATTTTGATCATTTCTTTCTCCTCTATCTTTGTAGTGAGCTTTTGCTTTCTTCATAGATGACTGTCTTGATTTCATCCCACAACTCATCTTGTCTTTGACTATTCATGTTCAATGCTTCCAACCTGTTCTTAAGATTATTTTTAAATTGAAGAGGGCTAGACTCAGTATCATATTTTGGTTCTTGTGGACTTGTTTTAGTATTTTTCTGCTTCTATTTGAACTTACACACGAGTAGTTGATCTGCTCCACAGTCATTACCTGGTCTAGTTTTGACTGCTGAGTTTTGAGGTTCTCCAACATTTTCTTCCACAGATGCCATCAATCTGATCCTATCTATGCGATATATCATGTGAAGTCCATGCAGTTTATCATGTGAAATCTCAATTTGTGGTGGTTTTTTTTTAAAGTATTTGTGATCAATCATTGAACATACAACATTTGATCATTGAGTGTACAACAGTTGATCATTCTATTTCCAGCTTCATTTCTGTCACCACGGCCACACTTTCCAACTATCCTTCCTCCTTCATTTTTTCCAACTTCTGCATTCTAATTACCAATTATCATTAATGCATCTTGATTGTTTATCTGTTCAATTTCAGATGTAAAATGTGATCAAAATCTTTAATTTCTTCCTCTTTAGCTTTAATTGTAGGAGCGTATATTTTAATCATAGTTGTATTAGCAGGTCTTCATTGTATGTACATGGATAATATCCTATTACTCACAACACTGTACGTCAGGATACTAAAGATAGCAGGAATTCCAAAAAATCTCACAAATTTAGTATTTTATAAACAGAAGGAGATTGCCCATCTTTTCCCCTACTTGCCACTAGTAGATTCTAACCACTGGAGACATGGAGATTTTGCTTAGTGGTGCAACTCACTGCAGACTAAGCCACCACAGTGCCTTTATTTTCTAAGTTTAGAAAATTGGATCCTGGATAAAAAATTGTCAGTATTTCTTCTCTTTGGAGAAAATTTTAACAATACCCAAAATTTCATTTTCTTGGCTTTTTATCAGGTCTGATATTTCCAAATGTATTTTGGACTCTACAAACGTTCTTCACATTAACCGTTTCTAAAATTATTTTATTTTCAAATTTCTAGTGTTTACTATATCCTCATATTGTTACAGCTGCCAGGCTAGAAAATTTATTATTATTTTTTCTTTTCGTCACAGTCGTACATCAATTGTCAAATCTCATCTGTTTCACCTCTGAATTTTTAAAAAAAAATCCAACAGTACCACTCTTCTTCTACAATTTTTAGTTTAAGGCTCATCAAAACTGCCTTTCTCATTGGCCACAATTCTACTGATTTCACCCTTTAAAATTCACTCTGGATATCACTGCTAGAATTTTTTTCTGATCTAATTATTCTTTCTATACTTAAATATATTGGTTAGCCTCTCACTTCCTACTATACTGGTCAAGATCTATTATTCATGCTCTACATTTTTGTTGCTGTTGTTGTTAGAACAAGGTACTGTAAAAGAAATTACATTTAAAAATTAGTTATTATATATTTAAAAATCAGAGTATACCAGGTAAAATTTCCGATTTCTAGCTTTTCTTGTCAAATTATTCTAAGAGTATTTGACAGAACTTTGCTCACATTAAAAAATTATTTTATTAATTTTAATGAACATTTATAGAGATTTTGGATTTCCATTTATTCATTGATGCATTTTTCTCCCTGCCCACCCCTCCCCCCAAGTTTGCTCTTCTCTTTAAAGAGAAAAATTCCTTCATTGGTATACAATACCTCCCCCCACCCCCCGCCCCGGTCCCCAGTACACTCCACTATGAAACCTTCATTCTGGACTTTTGTCATCATCATAATAGACAATCATATATCGCTTTAAAACTATTCTCTCCCTCATCTGTTTCAATGCAGTATAATTTATCCAATTCTTCTCAGTCTCACTCCAACCTTGATGTCAGTCCCATTCTAAAACAGTGGCACTATGCAGTATTTGTCCTTTATGAATGAGATATTTAACTCAGCATAATGTCCTCCAGGGTCACCCATTTTGAATAATATTGCATGAGTTCCTTGTTTTTCAATGCAGCATAGTATTACGTTGTGTGAACAAATCAGAGCTTCTCTATTCATTCATTTGCTGATGGGCACTTTAGTTGTTTCCATCTCTTTGTTATTGTGAACAAAGCCACAATAAACATGGGTGTGCATATATCTGCCTGGGTGGCAGTTGTGGTTTCTTTAGGGTGTATTTCCCAGTAGAGGAACTGCCGGGTCAAATGGTATTTCTATTTGCAACTTTTTGAGAAAGTGCCATACAGCCTTCTACAGTGGTTGTTGCACCATTTTACACTCCCACCGACAGTTCTAGTTTCTCCAAAACCTCTCCAGTATCTGTTGTTTGCTGTTCTGTTAAATTTTGCTATTCTTACTGGGGTGAGATGATATATCATAGTTGTTTTGATTTGCACCTTTCTAAGAGCTAAGGATTTTGAGCATTTCTTCATGTATTTGTTGGCCATCTGAATGTCGTCTTTGGTGAAGTGTCTGTTCATATCCTGTGCCCATTTTTCAATTGGTTTATTTACCTTTATCTTTTTGTGGTGTCTGAGTATTTTATAAATTCTAGATGTAATTCCCTTATCTGACATGTCATTACCAATTATTTTTCCCCAATCTGTGGCTTTTTTTTTTACTCTGTTGGGAGAAATTTTTAGATGTGCATAGGGATTTGATTCTTAGAAGGTCCCATTCATCTATTATCTTGTACAGCAATAGCTTAGTGGAGCTCAGTAGTAATCACTACCCTTAGATGAGGCTCTCCACAGTTGATGTTGCCCCACCAAATCTTAAAGGCATTTTAACTTGTGATCCTGATCCTTTGAATAAAGTACAGATATCTAAGATGGCACTTAAGGCCTTTTTGAATCAGATCTCAGCAATCTTAACCTTCATGCTATAGCCCCCATATACCACATTTTAATGATTCTTGGTGTTGGCATGCTTATTCTAATCTTATTCTGTGGAGTTTATCTTTCAATATGACATCTCCTATTAATTATTTAACTTTGCTATCTAGATGGGTGGGAATATGTGAATGGGGCGTGTTAGCCTAGCCACAAGGGGATTAGCTATAGACCATTCTACAAGAGGATTGTCTAGTCTTATCATTGAATTGAGCAAGCCAGCAGCAAGAGACAGACAGATCTTCCTCAACATTGAACAAGAAGCAAGAGAATGTAGGAAACCCTTCTTGCTCCAGCTAAACCAACAGCAGCAACAGCCATGTCCAAACTGGAGACCTGACATGACATGAAAACTTGGGTAGGGGAGTGCCAATATGGCAGGACTGAGAACTTTGGAACACTGGCCTAAAGCCATAAGGCTCAAGGCTGAGATGCCTTCATGCACATTTCAGTATCTATCTTAAGTATGTTCTGCTACTAATTGAGATTATAACCTTTAGACTTCCCCAGTATGTGTCTGTGTGGCCTGTGAGCTATTGCATTGGATTTTTGACCCAGCAAAGAAGTAACATTGGTGTTGAGATGAGTAGAAAAAGATACAGGAGTTTGGCAAACATGTATGACTTCATGGGAATTAGCTTTGTGTTACTGATGCTGTTGATAGGCTTGTTCCCTTTGTGAAGTCAGATAAGGCCAGCCCCATGTGGTCCTCTACACTTTTATATTAATTTATAGATCTGTCTATAACTCAGCACATTATCTTCTTCTTTTCCATGTATAAAATTCTTATTCATTTTTCAAATGTAAAATATGAGGATACCTGTTTGGAGACTATGATTCAGTAAGTCTGAGGTGGGGTCCAGGAATATGCATTTTAAATAAGGTTCCCTAGGAGATTCCTGATGGTATGAAAACAGCATTTGGAAAAACCCCTTTAAGATTAAGAGGATTTATGTTGGTTAATACCTTATAGCTTCTCTGACATCTACTGACTTGATCTCAACTCCAGTTACATATCAGGTAGATATAAAGGTATACATATTCCCAATTAAATTCTAAAATTTACCTTTTTGAATTTTCTCTTTGGAACTGATTCTTTGAATCTTGGAGGGTTGGCTCATATACCTTGGAGCTTGAACTCAAAATGTTTCCAAATCCTATGCAAAGAGAAAATATTTTTAAATATAATGCTAGAAAATAGCTGGATCAAGCTTCTTTTAAGTTTAACAAAAGCTCTAAAAGACATAAAGAGTTAAGGGAAGAACAAGGTAACCTCTGTCAATGAAATAAAATTTAATTTGCAGAGAGATTTAAGAGAGCAAACCCAAGAAAGTAAAACTACAAAATGTTGTTGTTGTTGTTATGTGCCATCGAGAAGTTTGCGACTCATAGCGACCCTATGCACAACAGCCCTAAACCCTGCTCTATCCTGTGCCAACCGCACTGCCTCTGACACACCATAGGTTAATTTCTTTGGATTCTGTTGTGCTAAGGGTTTATTGCACAAAATAGCTTTACTAGCCAATCGAATTTTACACCGCCATGTGGATGGGCAGAAAAGGGATCTGTTAGCCTATCCAACCAGGGGATTGGCTAGTCTTGCCACTAAATTGAGCAGACTCAGTGGCAGATTTGAAAAAAAATCACCATCAGTAAAGAAAAAACTGACATGTAGTATGTGCCTTTGGGGTTCAGAGATTCTTGCACCAGTGAAACCTACGGCTAGAGCAGCAGTGAACTGAAAGCTTTGTAACAGTGGTCTAAAGCATCACCATCCTTTCCTCTAACCCTGGTTTCACTTTTTCCAAGACATATATGTCTGTTCTTTTTGCAGTCCATGGGATAGTCAATACTCTTCTCCAGCACCATAACACAAATCAATTCTTTTTCTATCATCCTTATTTGTTATTCCGCTCTCAGATGCATAGCAAGTGATTGAAAAGGGCATGGTCTGAATCAGCACACACTTTAGTTTTCAAATTGACATTATTGTTCCTCAGTAATTTGAAGAGGTCTCTGACAGTGAATTTGTCCAATGCAGTATGTCTTCTAATCTCCTGACTACTGGTATCAAGGTATTGATTGTGGTTTCGAGTAAGATTAAATCATTGGCAATTTCAATCTTTTCTCCATATCTTACTATTGCTTATGGTCCAGTGATGAAGATTTTTGTCTTCTTGATGCTGAGATTAAATCCATACTGAGGGCTGTACTTTTTTCCTATAGCAAGCCCTTCAAATCCTTCTCACTTTCAGTAAGCAAGCATGTGTCATCTGCATAACACAGACTGATGAGTCTTCCTCTGATCCTGATGCCACATTCTTCTTCACAAAGTCTAGCTTCTTGAATTATTTGTTCAGTGTATAGATTGAATAAGAGAACAGATACAATCCTCCTGCACATCTTTCCTTATTTTAAATTATGCAGTGTTTCCCTTGCTCTGTTTGGAAAACCACTTCTAGGGCTAAGTATAGGTTTCAGATGAGCATAATTAAGTAATGTGGGATTCCCATTCTTTTCAGTGTTATGATCCACACTGTCAAATGCCTTTGCATAATCAATAAAACACAAATAGTCTTTTGGTATTCTCTGCTTCCAGCCAGGATCCGTTTAATATTAGCAATGATAACTGGTTGCACTTTCTACAAGATAGATCAATTTGTTCTTTTGACAGTCCATAGGATATGCAATACCATCATTATGACCACAATTTAAAGGTATCTATTCTTCTTTGGTATTCCTTATTCTTTGTCCAACTTTCAGATGCATAGGAAGCAATTAAAAAGACAATGGCTTGGATAAGATGTACTCCTTAAACTGAAATCCTTGCTCTTAATCACTGTGGAAAGGTCCATGACATCCAATTCCCCCAGTGCAGCAGCCTTTTGATTTCTTGACTGCTGCTATCATGGATCTTGATTGTGAAATCCAAGTAAAATAAATTAATTGACTTCAATTTTTTTCTCCATCAATCATGATATTGTCTATTGAACAAGTGGTGAGGATTTTTGTTTTCTTATTGTTGACATGTAATCTATATTGGAGGCTGTAGTCTTCAATCTTTTTCAGTAAGTGCTTCAGTTCTTCAATATTCACAAGCAAGTCTGTGTCATCTGCATAATGCAGGTTGTTCATGAGTCTTCCTCCAATTCTGATGTTAAATTCTGCTTCATATCATCTAGTTTCTCAAATTTTTTGTTCATAACACTTACTTGTATTCCTAGGAGTACAATGAGTGGTTTAAAAACAGTAAAGTATATTAAGATTATATTATATTATATTATATTATATTATATTATATTATATTATTATATTATGGAGGTGGGAGGGGTTCAGGGGGATTGTGTACCAGGGAGGGAGTGTTTCTTTTACTTTTAAAAGAGAGGAGTGAACTGGGGGGCAGGGGCAGGCTGGGCGGGGAGAGAAGTGCAGCAATGAATGAAGGGAAATCCAAAATCTCCGTAAATGTTCATTAAAATTATTTTAAAAAAAGATTATATTTTTTACTCCATATCATTCAATTTGGGATGTGTTAGACTGTGACTATAATGGACCAGAAAGTTGGACAATGAACTAAGACTACTGAAGAATTGATGCCTTTGAATTCTGGTGTTGGAAGATAGAGGGAATATACAAATCATGGACTGCCCAAAGAACAAAAATACACCTTAAAGGAACTACAACCAGAGTGCTGTTTAGAGGCAAGGATTATGAAACTTTGTCTTGCATACTTTGGGCAGGATGTCACAGGGGACAGTCCTTGAATAAAAGAGAGTATGCTGGAAAAGACCAGCAACAGAGAGGAAAAACTCTGAATAATGTGGTTTGATATAGTGACTACCACAATAGGCCTGACCATAACACAAATTGTGAAGATGGTGGAGGCATCATAAGATCACTGTAAGTCATGGTAGACTTGAAAGCACCTAACAACAATATCATTGTGGGAATAGGTGTTTGTATGCAAAAGGCTGAGGGACTGCTTTTCTTCTTCCAGTCCTAAAGGGGAAAAAAAGGTGTCTCCACTTCGCCACATTAGTTACTGAGGTGGTGTTTTGTTTTGTTTTTTTTCTATTTTAGTGAAACACAGTGAATTAGTCTGTAACTCTATGTTACTACTTTTGGATTGTGTATGATTTGTGCATAGCTGTTGTTGTTGTTAAGTGCTGTTGAGTCAAATACAACTCATAGCGACCCTATGAACAAAGGACTTGAACCCTGTTCTATAACTATTGTCATTTCTCTAAGTTCATATAGCTTCCCAAGGCATGTTATTTAGGAAGTGGATGCCACTTTTGCTTCCAAGCCTGTCTTAATTTGGGAGCTCCACAAAAAAACTGTCCATCATGGCATTATGACATTTGACACGCCAATGGTACAGCTTTCAGCATCACAGCAATGCCAGGTTACCTCAGTACAACAAATTGACAGACCAGTGTTGTACCACTTAGAAGAATTTTGTATATTATCCAATACTAAACAAAACTAATCTTGTCTCTATTCCTACTAGAAATAAAAGTTGTCATTTGTTTTTCCTTTTTTAAATTTTATTTTTTACTGTGATTTTAATGAAAGTTTACAGAAAACTTGTTGCACATTTTCCTCCCTTCCTCCTCAGTTTTTCTTTTTTTTTTGTGCTGGCAGATGAATAATTTTTAAAATGAAATAATTTTATCATTTACAAATTAGCAAACTACTTTTGCTCTCAAATGGACAAATGGAAAAGAAGATATCTTTTTAAGGGAAGGAATTCAGTCAACAATCTGAATTTTAATATCATACCAATAGTGACTTTGCATGAGAATCTTGGACAGTTTATTTGCTGTATCATTATGATATTGTTGCTCTTATGTACCAATGAGTCAGAAATAACACATAGTTAATCCTCCAGTGGGCTTTCAGAGGCTATAAATTGCTTTGACGGAGACTGCTCAAAATTCTCCTATGGAGCAGCTGGTAGGCTCAAATTTCAAATCTTCGGGTTGGCAGTACCACTACTTACCACTAAGCCACCACAGTTTCCTCATCATAATGTAATAACCTTAACCTCTAGCTTTAGTAGGACAAGAAATGCTATTTATGGAAATGTCACATTTTTGCTAAAAGTTGTAACATTAAGAACCAAAGCAAGTTAAGCAAGCTCACATAAAAAAAAGCAGAGAAAACTAGTCCAAGAAAACAAACAAAAATAATAATTTCTCATTAATTAATTATAAAATACAACTTTACCTGATGTTTTTGTCTCACAAGTTTCATTTAAAAAGTTAGTAATTTCTATCAAATTTTCATCATCAAAATCTTCCCATACTTCATTTCCCAATTCAAAATTTACATTAAAAATATTTGAAGATGAAGAGTTGCTTTTCGTTTCATCTGTCAAATTTTGGTTTCTGGATTTAAAATTTCTGTTCAATGGCATTGTTTGAGGGGTTTTCTCATTTGAAACTTCAGGATAATTCCATCTGGAAAAATCTGTCATGTACATATATAAGGTTTCTTTTAAAACACAAGAATAATTATGTATTGTTACATCAAATACATCTTTTAATTTTTAAAAATAGGTTTGAGCAATAGACTTCAAAAGAATTATTCAATATTGTGTCCACAAGTTGTATTTACTATGTTTACATGTACTGATAGTTGTACTACTTAATTTACAATGGATTCTTCTAGACAGGATTAATTTTTTAATCTTAACTCTTATATAAAATTATTCCGTTCTAAGTTGGATTCCTTACAAGCAAATTATGAGCATAATTATAAAATATATTTGTCATATAAGTCTTTACAGGAGGAGATTGCCCATCTTTCTTCCACTGAGGAGTTGGGTGAATTTGAACTTCTAGACTTTCAAATCAGAGTCCAGTACATAATACACTGTATCACTAGGGCACTTCAGGAGAAGCAATGTTGTTGTTGTTAGGTACCATCAAGTAGACTGCAACTCAAAGTAACCTTATGTACAATCAAATGAAACTTGACTTGATTCTGCACTTCCCAATCTCTGTTGTGCTTCAGCCCAATGAATCAATATACAGGTTTAATTAAGATCCAATAAGAGATTTACAAACAAAGGAAAGAGTAGAAATGCCACAGACTAAAGAGGTTAAAGAGAATGAAAATGGAAAAGACTATACTATTAGCAGTTAGGCTATCACTAAATTACTTTTAAAGAAAAACTAAAGGGAGATAATTAAAATTATAGTGAGTGATTAACAAGTGGGAAGTAAGGAAGCAAGAATACTGATGTAAACATTGTCTCATGAAGTTTTGTTTTCAAAGGGTAGTAACAGAGTATATAGAGAATCTAGCAGCTTTGTTTGTTGGTTTGTTTGTTTTTGTTCAGGCTGGCATGATTTCCCTTATTTTATTAAAAGCTTCAGTAAGAGTTGCAATATTTTCCACAATACATCTGTCAATTTGCCATACTCTAGAAATTTATATGTTGCTGTATGTTTGAAGCCATGTTACTGGTATTTCAAATACTAACAGGGTAATTCATGGTAGATAAATTTCAGTGGAATTAACATTGCACTTCAGTAAGAAATAAGGCCGCAGGAATTGATGGGATACTAACTGAGGTGTTTCAGCAAACAGATACAGCCCTGGATGTTCTTACTCATCTTTGGCCAAAATCTTTGGAAGACAGCTACCTGGAAAATGCACTGGAAGAGATATATGCATATTTGTTCACATAAAAAAAAAGGTGATCCAACAGAGTGTGGAAATTATTGAATAATATCATTAGTATCACATGTAAGTAAAATCTTGCAGAAGGCTATTCTAACAATACATCAACAGGGAACTGCCAGAAATTCAAGTTGGATTTAGAAAAAGGCTAAGGACAGAGGGAGATCATTGCTGGTATCAGATGGCTATTGGCTGGAAGCACCAATATGAACACCAGATGATGTTTACTTGTGTTTTATTGATAATGCAAAGGCATATGATGTGCACATCCATTAAGTTGTTGGTGGGACATACAAAAAAAACCTCTGCGTGGTATAAAATTATGAACTGTGAGTATCAGGGTTGTATCCTTACTCCATATCTAATCAATCAGTATGCTGAGTAAATCATTCAAGGAACTGGACTATATGAAGAGGAAATGTGGCATCAATATTGGAGGAAGACTCTTATCTTATACAGATGACCCAATCTTGCTTGAAGAAAGACTTGAAGCACTTACTGAAGAAAATTAAAGACTACAACTTTCAACATGGATTGCATCTCAACACCAAGAAAACAAGAATTTTTGCCATTCGACCAAAATGCAAAATCATCATAGACAGAGAAAAGATGGAAGCTGTCAGTGATTTAATTTTACTTATATCTATAGTGAACATCTATGGTGCCGGTAGCTAATAAATCAAGACATGTTGCATTGAGAGAAACTACTGTCAAGGACTTCTCCCACGTGATAAACAACAAAGATATCCATTGATAGACTAATATATGCCAAATCCAAGCCAGGGTCTTTTAATTTGCTTCTTATGTATGTGAAAGTCAGACAATGACAGCATAAGGATCCATGTCTTAGAGTTGCAATGTTAGAAAAGAGTGCTGAATTCCCCATGGATGCCAAAAGAATAAACAAGTCTGCCTTGGAAAAAGTGCAACCAGGGTATTCATTAGAGGCAAAGAAAGGTGAAAACTCCATCTCACATACTTTGGGAATGTTGTCAGGAGGGGCCAGTCCTTAAATATCATGCTGGGAAATGTGAAAGGCCAGAAGTGAGATGGATTGACACAGTGACTGTAACAATAGATTTGAGCATGTCGGAGATCATAACGGTGGTACTGGATATAGTAAGGTTTCCATTTGTTTTCACAGATTTGTAATGAGTCATAGTTGATTCCAAAGCACTTAACAATAACATTAAGGAGAAAAAGATAGAGATTAACCCTGAATAAGAGAAAGGGTAATTTTTCTTTTAATGTGAGTTAACAATGGGTGTGAAGACAAAGAAAAATATAGTTGTGGTGGAAAGTTGAAAGAGTTATTTTATGCTCAATTTTCAATTTGCTGGTAACTAAAATTTTTGTTTAAAGGAATTATATTGGACTGAGAATCTGGAAGCATGGGATGTACTTCTAGCCCTACCATTAATTAGATAGGTGGTTTGGGGTAAGTAATTTAATCTCATAGAATCTTGACTTCTTTCACTGTAAAGTGACAAACTGCACAAAGATCTCTTCCAATTTAAATTCTATGATAATATACTTTTAAAATAAGTATTCCTGATATCTTCTCCTTTCCTTCCTGAAATCAGAATACAGGTGATAAAAATAGTATTTTTATCCTTAAAACATTTTCAAAAGTTGTATTTGAATACATTAAATTATACATTACTAGCAAAGCCTTCCCTGTCAAAAATAAAATGAATATACTCTATTTCTAAAAATAGTAGTAACAGATACTCTATAAAGAGCTTTATATATATATTAACTCATTTAACCATCAAAACAATCCTAAAACATACTAGATGAGGAAATTGAGACAAAGTGTTTAAGCAAGTGTGAATGTTTACAAATTTACTACATGGTAAAACCAGGAGGAGAATTAAAATAGACTACCTCTAAATTTTCTGAATTTAACTACTATATAAGGTTTGTTCTTTATTGTAAAAAAAGGGTTAGGGGGACAAAAATGTCACCTACTCATTAAAATAGGTTATGTAGTTATTGTTGTTTTTAGGTGCTGTTGAGTATAACTCATAGTAGATCTGAATCCCATCCTATCCTGTGCCATCCTCTTCATCTCTGACAAACTTGAGCCCACAGCTGCAGTGGCTGTGTCAATCCATTCAATGAGGGCCTTCCTCTTTTTGCAGACCCTCCTGCTTTCCAAGCATGATGTCCCTTTCCAAAGAATAGCCTCTCCTAAAAACATATGAGAGGTGAGATGAAGCTTCATCATTCCTTACCTCCAAGGAATACTCTCATTAAAATTTTACCAAGATAGAAATCTGTTTGTTCTTTTGGTAGTCCAGTACTTAAAGGCATTGATTCTTCTGTCCTCATTACTCATGTTTTCAGCTCTCAGATGCATAGCAAGTGATTGAAAAGACCATTACCTGACTGAGGCAAACTTTAGTCTTCAGAGTGGCTTCATTGCTCCTCAGTAACTTGGAAAGGTCCAAGTTAGCAAACTTGCCCAATGCAATATGTCTCCTGATCTCCTGACTGTTAGTAACAAGGGTACTGATTGTGGATCCAAGTAAGGTGAAATAATTATTTTCTTCATCTTTCATGAGGTTGCTTATTAGTCCAGTGATGAGGATTTTTGTCTTGATATTGAGGTGCAATCCATATTGAAGGCAGTAGTAGTCTTTGATCTTTTGTTGCTAGCACCTCAAGTCTTCACTTTCAGTAAGCAACATTGTGCCATCTGCATAACACAGGTTTTTGATGAATGTTCCTCTGTTCCCATGCTACATTCTTCTTCATAGAGTCCAGCTTCTTGAAATGTTTGCTCAGTATACATATTTAAAACATATGAATAAAGGCTATATCCCTGACCATACCTTTCTTGATTTTAAACCATGCAGTGTTTCCTTGCTCTGTTTAGAAAATAGCTTCTTAGTCTAGGTGAAGATTTCATGTAAGCATAATTAAAAGTTCTGATATTCCAATTTTTCTCAATATTTATAATAATTTTCTATGAATTTACACAATTGAATGCCTTTACATAATAAATAAAACACAAATAGGCATCCTTCTGGTATTCTCTGCTTTCAGCTAGGATCCATTTGATTGATGTTAGCAATGACACCGCTGGCGCCACAGCCTCTTCAAAATACAGTTTGAGCTTCTAGCACTTCTCTGTCAATGTACTGTTCTAGCCAATTTTAAATGCTCTTCAGCAATATTTTGCTTGCTGTTGTTGTGATGTGCAACTGAGTCACTTGGAACTCATAGCGACCCCATGTACAACAACCCTCAAAACTGCTCTATCCTGTGCCAACTTTACTGTCTCTGACACACCTACCCTCATTCCCCCAGTCACTGAATCAAGCCATCTCATTGATGGTCTTCCTCTCTTTCTCTGTCCCTCCACCCTTCCAAACTTGCATATTAATGACCTTGTTAATGACTTAATAATTTCCACATTGTTGGATCATCTTTCGTAGGACCAGTAACAAATATGGATCTCTTCCAGTCAGTTGGCCAGGCAGCTGTCCTTCAAATTTCCTGGCATAGACTAATGAGCATGTCCAGGGCTGCATCTGTTAGATGAAATGTATCAGTTGGTATCTCATCAATTCCTGTGGCTGCTTTCTTTCTTTCTTTCTTTCTTTCTTTTTTCCCCCCCAGTGCCTTTTACATGCAGCTTGAAATTC